AGGTCACACAGCTGGTTAGCAGCAAAGGCAGGTGTAGGTCCAAGCTAACCCTGGTCAAGTACACTTACAAAGCAGCATTTGACATTTAAGGTGATCTTTATATCCCACAATAAAAAAGAAACTAAAGAAAGGTCACTTTTCTCCATCTTTACTGATTCACAGAAAAATGGCTTCTAAAGAAATGGTGAAACTTTTGGCTTAAATATTCAGCATGGCCTGATAGAGAGAACTTCGGATTTGAAATTTGGGAGTTCAATTTCTGTCTCTGACACTACAGTTCTGTGACACTGACCTGGTTTCTTAGGCCCACTCAACCTTACTTTTTCTCCTCTGTAAAATGGAAATGATAATAATCCCCTCACAGGAGGATAAAATGTTAGAGTACACTCTAACACGTGGTGTTGTTTTTCTATCTTTTCAGTTGTGTCTGACCCTTCCTGGCAAAGATACTGGAGTGGTTTGCCATTTCCTTCTCCAGCTGACAGATGAAGAAATTGAGGCAAAGAGGGTTAAATGACTTGCCCAGGGTCACACAGCTAATAAGTTTCTGAGGCCAGATTTGAACTCTGGAAGATGAATCTTCCTGACTTCAGGCCCAGCACTCTATCCACGTTGTCACCTAGCTGCCCATTATTGTATTTCAGGCACAGCTATTATTTTTTCCCTTATTTAATGAAACTCCTCTCACAAAGTAAATTAAAACTTACATCCCACAAAATAATGACATTAGAAACAGATTTAAAATAAACGAACTTTTTTTTAATCTCAAGGAACTCATTTATTAATGGAGGAGATAAAATATAAACAGGTTCGATTCCTTGTATAAGCCTTTGAACTGCTTCTTGAAGGCAAGTGGGAGTGTGGGGTAGGGACAGCATTCGAGGTATGCAGGGTGGCCAGTAAAAGACACAATTTATTTGAGTAAATGGTACTAATTTATAAAATTGCATAAATGTTTAGTGCTTTGTATAAGTGCTATGGAAGCTGAGATAAGAGAGAAATAAATGTAGTCTGAAGTTTAGTCAATGAAAGTTTCGTGGAAGAATTAAGAGCTTTATCTGAACCCTGAAAGAAGGCTAGGACTTAGATGAGGTGAAGTCTCGAGAGCATGGAAAGCAAGGTTGTTCTGCTGGTTATTTTAGCAGTCCATCAGCTGAGTGGAAGGGAGAGTTGGGGGGGAGGGTACAGAGGTTCTTTCCTGTGCCCCTGAAATTACACCATTACTCAAGGGACCTCCTAGTCTGTTTATTCTCAGTGTCTGACCTGCCTTTAACCTTCCTCAGCTGGAGCTTAAAATACACCTAGTAGATCTGTTTACTTTGCTCATCTCTCTTTACTGGGTGTTCATCTCTCTTCTTCAGTCCTTGGTGTGAGGTTAAGTCAGCGCATCAATCTTTCACATGTTTGGGAAGTCCCAATTTAAAAGTTATGTTCCAAAAGTTCATTTTAAATTCAGTTGTTCGGAACTTGGAATATATTTTCTCTTGGCCTCAGTCTTGGCCCCGCCGCAGACTTGATCTGGAGGGTCGGTCAGAGGCAGCGCAGAGAGCCCGGGCATTTCCTCTTCCCCCAGGCAAGCTGGGGCAGCAGCAGCACTCCAATTAGGACCTCCTCTCCCTTTACCTGGACTAATGCTATAGCTTTCTGATTGACTCAATTCTCTCCTCACTCTACTCTTTCCTCAACTCAGTTGCCAGTGATTTTTCCTAAAGCATTGGTCTATTCAGATCACCTCCCTACTCAATGAAATCCAAGGGCTTCCCATAACCTTGGAGATATAATATGAAGTCCTTTGTTTGACATTTGAAGCTTTCACAACCTGGATCCTTCTTGTCTTTCCAATATTCCTGCATTCTGTCCCCACCCCCGACCACGTTCTATATGATCGGGCCACAGCAGCCTACTTTCTGTGCTTCCACATGACACTCCATCTCCACCTCCAGGCCTTTGTACTGGCTGTTCACCAAGCTTTGGATGGTTTTCCTCCCAACCTCTGACTCTGGGAATCTCTGGCTTCCTTTAAGTCCCAGCTCAAGCACCGTCTCTTCAAGGACCCCTGTCCTGGTCTTACCAGCTGCTAGTGCCCTCCCCTCAAAGGCTGTCTGTCATTCATCTACTCTGTTTATGATGTAAGATGTTTCTCCTTTAGGATGTAAGTTTTCTGAGGGCAGGCACTGTTTTTACTTTGTCTTTGGCTCTCTAGCACTTGGCACAGTGTCTGGTTCATATTTAGTGCTGAGTAAATGCTTCTTGATTGATTCATGGTCCTTGAGAGTTGATAAGGCTGAAAAATTCATCACCCTGTATCCACCTTGCTAATCAACACCTTCAACTTAGCTAGCCTAGTCAATGGAAAATAGACACAAGGTCCATCCCTCTACTAGTACTCCACACCATTCAAGTTCTGTAGAATCTTCCAGAATTTGTGCTCCAGTGGCATGGTGTTCAAGAGACCTGTGACACTTCTATGCCATGATAAAGAATCAGAGACAGGGAGTGATCAAAGGCCTAATGCAGCACTATCGCTATCTGGTACCATGGGTGTGCTAGTAAATGTATAACAAAATCAGGAAACATATACTTTTAAGTTTCATCTGCATTATTAATACTTTCTCAAGTTTAGAAAATCAATAAAACAATAAATCAAGCCCATGATATTAGCATCTGCTTATTCCTTGGGCTTAAAGCTCACATGGGGTTAGAGCTGGCTCCACCATACCCTTGTCTGGGTACTATATTTTACTTGGCGGTAGTGACCTGAAGTGAGATCAATCTCCCAAGAAAGAATAAAAAAGGTTGGCCTTGAACCTACACTGACCTTGGGTTCAGGTCTTGCCTTTTATATAAACTGATTGTGTGGGGAAAAAAGATCAGGATGAGATGTGGAATCCAAAAGCAAGGAGCCTCCACAGTGGGTGAGGTTCACAAAACCTCATGTTTACATCTGGTCTGGAACAAATTATCTCTTAGAAGTTCTCATCTTAAAAGTGGGGGAGAAATCTATTTTAGGCTAGTCAGTATAGCCCTTCTGTTACTATGTGCCAGCTACTGGGCACTGACTGAGAGAGCTAAGAATGTCAGTGATGAAATGGAAATTTGGATTCTAATACAGAATGTCAAGTCTTTATAGATGGAATATCTTCAGCTCCAAACCAAAGTTCATGTGAAGAACATTTCATATTGCATTAGAGACTTAACATTTATTCATAGCCAAGGGGTTAGGACACTGGACTTGCAGTCAGGAAGACCTGCCTCAGATACTTAGTACTTGTGTGGCCCTGGGCAAGCTACTTCCCCTCTCTGAGCCTCAGTTTCTCATCTGTAAAATGAAGATGTTGGACTGAATGGTCTTTTAAAGTCCCTTCCAGTTCTAAATTTATGTTACTATATACCAGGCACTGAGACTTGACTGATAGAATGTTAAGGAATCTTAAGATTCCAATCCCCCATTTGACAGATGGGAAAACTGAGGATCAGAAAGAAGCTGTGACTTATATCAAGTCACATAGATAATTAGTGGAAAAAATGAGAATAAAAGCCAAAAAGAGTTTAATCTAGCATTCTTCTTTTTCTCCTTATTTGGCTTACCTAAAAGATTTACCAAGTATCTATAAGCTTCACATTCTGACCATTTGGAAGGATAATCTGAGCTAACTAAGAAAACCTGGGATTAATAATATTAGCTAACATTTACATATCACCTGCTATCTCCCTGGCACCCTGCTAAGCACTTAATAATTTATCTCATTGGAGCTACACAAAAGCCCTGGGGGGGGGGTAAATGCTATTATTATCTGCAATTTACAGATGGGGGAAGTGAGGCAGATTTAAGGGGAAAATGAAAACAAACTGTTTTACACTACATTCTACTATGGGAACACAACATTTATCTGCAAAATTCTTGATAGAAAGCAGTAGGAATTTACTCTCCTCACCCAAAATATCAGGGAGGCTTGGAGAATTCCTTTGAAGGAAAATGTTGAACACTGTTAAGCTAAAAGAGCTTAAAAACGGCATTAACTCTAAGCATGTTGGCTGGACAGTCTCACAAAAGAGTGCTAACTCTTTCTCTGAAGAAGAAGCTCCAACTCCAGCCCCAGACGGAGACTCTAGCAACTTTAGAAACAGGATAGAACTTCAGTAGGGCATACACACTTGTCTGGGAAGCGAAGCATTAAAGCTGTTCCAGCTGAGCCATAAACCTGGAAACTCCCGAGTCGTATGGGTAATAGTCCCGTTCTCATGGGCAGCGTGGGAATCCATGGGAAAATGTATTTCTTTACTTCTTGGGTCATTTCCCTCATGTATTTCAAATGAGCCCTTATGGCAAGGTAACAATGTACATTTTTTTGGAATGGTTTTGTACAGTGGAGAGCAAAAGACGGGTTATAAGTAGACCCAGCTTCAAGAAGACCTGGCTTTAATCCTGCCTCTGACTCCGACTGGCTGGATGAGCCTGGGCTTAACTCTCTGTGTCCCGGGCAACTCTCAGACTAAAAAACCCAGGACAATGGTAGATGTGCTATTGGCAGAGGGAATTTCCTCTCCAGGGAGTTCACTACATAAATCAGCACCGGAATCTATATGATTTATTTTGGTATTCGTCCTAAATAAAAACTTTTTAATTTGAATTATTGTTCCTGGGTTTTGATAGTAAATTCCACATCTGCATAACTAGGATCACCCCCAAACAATACCTGGAGTAAAACAGGGAGTTATTTGAGATCCATATGATACCCAGATCTAGATGACCAACTTTGTATAATGATAAAATTATCCTAGTAGACATTCCTTACACAAAGAAAGAAACTCCATCTTTACATTTTAAATATCCTGTGTGGACCAGGTTAAGATCCTCACCAAAGTCCCAAATGCATTTCAAAAATCAGTTAAATAGATCCGGGCCTAGCTGCCCGCATTTGGGAGAAAGTGGGAGGTCTGAACCCTGCCGATCACGTGATCCTCCTTCCTCTTCTCCCCTCTTGCATTCCCCCCAACCCCCCACCCCCAGCCCACCCCCGTGCCATCTGCCGCGTCGGTGTCTATTAGTATTTTCACTTTCCTCCTCTGGAGCCAAGGCTGCAAAAAAAAGCTCGTCTATTGAGGTCCTGGTCAAGCTGTTGGTTCTCTCTTGTTTTTCAGAAAACCAGGAACTGAGAATCATGGCTGCGAAGCCCATACTGTACTACTTTGATGGCAGAGGGAGAATGGAATCGGTGCGCTGGCTCCTTGCAGCTGCTGGGGTGGAGGTAGATGCTTCATTTCTTATCTTTGTGCTTTTTCTTCTGACTCAGTGAGTATTTATTAGAAGAGAAATCAAGTGGAGCTTCCTTAATAACTCCCTAAAGAGGGGTCTAATCGTGGTAATTATTTTTTTTTTTTAACAGTGAACTGAGCCTCTGGACTCAGTTCAAAGTCATGTTTATCTAGATCATTAAGTGTTAATTAATGTTCTCCTTCTGAAAGTGGAAACAGAGCCCAGGGGCAAGTTCTCTGGACTTGGATTGAGCAGATGTGGATCCAAATCCTGGTGATAGGACCAGCTAGCTATATACCTTTAGGCAAACCTCCTTGCATCTCTGAGACTCAGTTTCATTATTTGTAAAATAGAGGAGTTGGATTAGATTATCTCTGAGATCCTTTGTAGCCTTAACATTCCTTGATTCCGTGATCTTATACTGTAATTGAATAATATCAAGGAACAGAAATTGTGTTATTTTTTAAAGAGATTTAAATAATCTACGTTTTTGTGGACTTAAAAAAAATTCAGTCAGGATTGGGGAAGGTTCAGATTCCTTATATGCAAATTCTTCCTAAAGTCTTTACGAAGTTTCTAAACTTTTCAATATTTAAAAAGAAGTAACCACATTACCCATCTGTGCTCAAAGTAGTTGCATTTTCTATCCTGCTACAGAGTAGGTTCCTATGATTAGCAGAACTGAAGTGCCTCAGATGCTAGGAGTCAGGCAGAGCTGAAAGGGGACATTGTAGATTAGCTCCTCTAATCTCATTTAACAGGAAAGGAAACTGAACCCCAGAAAGGTGAAGTGATTTACCAATATAAGAGTGGAGGGAGAATCATTCATTACCAGCTGAAAGATTATTATAATTTCTTCTAGCATATCAATCTAAATTATTAATGTTTAAAAGTTCTTTCTTTTGTACTTGCATGCTAGGTTAGGCCTAAAGCCCTGCAGAGATTTTAAGAGGACCGTGAGTGGACACACATATTAGGTTCATATATAATATAATAAATGAATTAAAATTTAAAAAATAAATTTACAATTACAATATATCAAAATTTAGCTGTTTTAATGGCTATGTTGCAAATGTCAATAAATGGAACCCACATAAACAGAAGCTCTTTTGGTGGGTCCTCAAAAATATTGCATTAACAATGTAAAGGGGGATTCTGAGAATAAAAATTTGAGAAGTGTTGGACGAGAGCATCACAGAATCATAGAGGTAGAGCTGGAAGAAACCTTGGAGGTTATTTAGTCCAAAGTCCTCATTTTTGCAGGTGGGGAAACTGAAGCCCAGAAAAGTTAAATGACTTGCCCAGGATCACCCAGCTAGAAAATAGGTACCTACGGTAGGATTTGAACTCGGGTCTTTGCGAGTCCCATTCCTGTGTTCTAAGTTGTCTTAGGTGATCTCGAAGTCCCTCTCAGTGCTAACATTTCATGATTCCATTGTTCTGATACTCTCATGTGTTTTTCTCCTTTCTAGTATGAAGAAGTGCTTTTCAAAACAGCTGAAGATTTTGACAATTTAATTAAGAGTGAGTTCAAAACCTTGCTGCTGTGCTGTGCTGGTCCATGAAAGTCAGATTAACCACCATTGCCTTGCCTGAAAAGACATGCAGAAAGTCTCTAAGATCCCTTTGAAGCCCTAAAATTCTCTGATTCTACAGTTGTAAAAAAGCATGTTATTAATCATATCATGGACAGGGAATTACATGGAACAGTACACATGTGTGCTTCTCTGTACCTGAGAAGTAGGGTTTGAATTTCAAAACAACCACATCAGGGAAGAAAGTAAAGCTTTTTTCCTCCTGAAACATTTTTTTTTTTTGCCTTCTATAGAATTGTGGTGGAAGTAAAGAGTGATGGGATTTAAGACTGGAAAGGTTAGGTTGGAGTTGGGTCATATGATTCTATGAATTGGAGGAAAGAGTAGGCAAATGAGAGTTATTGGAGTTTTGTTTTGTTTTGTTTTTAAGAAAAAACTTGATATTGCTGGGTTTCCTTGCTGTTTCCTGGACTCTAAAGTGGTGATGGTGATATAGTACCTGCCTCCTAGAGCTATGAGGATCACACAAGATAATATTTAAAAATAACACTTCATGTGGTACCTGGCACATAGCAGGCAGTTAGTCAATGCTTATTTCCTTCTTTTTTCCAAGTAGGGCTCCCAACCCCCTCCCACTTAGAAAGCAAAACTTTTTCCTCTGAAGCAGAGTCCTAGCCCTCTATAAACTGTGTTTACTCAAGGTGGCTAGTTGGTGCAGCGGATAGCCTGCTGAACCTGGAGTCAGGAAGACAAGAGTTCAAATCTTTCCTCAAACAGTTGCTGTGGGACCTTTGTGCTGTGTGATCCTGAGCAAGTCACTTAACTTTCAATCTCAATTTCCTCATCACTAAAATGGTTGACAGTTGTTGTGAGGATCAAAGGAGATAAGATATGCAGTGCAAAGTTCTTTGCAAATTTTAAAATATAAAAATGCTGGTGATTATTAAGTGTGGGAGCCTAGGAGTCAGGAAATAGGAATGTTGGAACTTTGAGTAAGGAGATTGAGGGGCTGGCAGATTTGACCTAACTCAAGAAGATGAATGGACAGTACATCAGCCGTAGGCCTTATAATGAACCAAGTGGAAATTTAGAGTTTATACATAGTTCTTTACAAGTAGTAGTATTGCCATTTTACAGATGAGAAAACTGAGATTCGGGAATGTTAATTCGGTTGACCAGCGTCACATAGGCACATGCAGTAAAGCCGGGATTCTGATAGAACCTAACTGCTCTGGTTTAAAGTCCAGTAGTCTTTACACCACACCACAGTGTCTCTTCTTGTAGATGAAAAGTAATGAGGACCTGAATGTGGGGCATTGAGGTAATGGGGTAATTAGGCAGTGGGGATGGTAAGGTTGGCACATAACTGACAGGACTTTATGGCTGACTGGATATGTGAGATAGGGTGAGGGAGAAGTTAAGGATGCCCTTGTTAACAGGATTTTTACTGAGCTAGTCTCTAACCTGAGAATGCTAGGAGCAGCACAAAGCAGACCTGTGAATGGGAGTGTCAGTAACCAAGTAGTTTAATTAATCAGTTTCAGAGTGAGAAATGTTCTTTTAGCTGAAGTAAAAGCACAGGTTATCTACTTAAATCACAACTGGGAAAGGTGGATTACAAACAATCATTTAGTGTTTTTTCCCTGAGAAACCCATGGGTCTCACAATACAGCAATTCTGGAGTCAAGTCTTAGAGGGTTGTGACCACCTCCCCTAATGTATAGAACCAGAGTTTTGTGATGGGAACAGTTTCTACAGTCTTTGATTCGATTCACTTCAGGTACGCAGGCAGAAACATGCCAGTGATTGTGAGCCTTGTCAAGCCTTGATTAATCAGTTTAAGCTGCATTGTAAATCTGACTCACAGGCTGGAAAATGCAGCTCTTGAGAAAACTAAATTGTTAGTATATTCATTACACATATCATATCGATTAATATGAAAATTTTAACTTCCTTCCTCCTTCCTTCCTTTGGGCCAAAAAGGTCAAAACGACACTTGAAGGCCGATGAGTAACATTCACTTGAAACATGATTTTGAAAGATTTCTTGATTGTAGAAATTTGCTATAAAATGGGAAAAGAGGGACATAGTTGTCATATAAAGGGAAAAACTCCCTTAACTCTGTTTGGTTCCAGGCATGAGTCACATCTGACAGCCAGTCATGTTAAAGCAAAGCACAGGATTAACTAGGTGGGAATTTTCCTTTTCCAGAAAGGAATTGACACAATGGGGGAAAATGTCAGGAGGATTCTGCTTAGACTATGCCCTAAATTATCCTCACAACCTTTCCCTGGTGCAGACATTGGCCTTAGCAGTCCTCTGACTGCTGCACGTGCCATTTTCTCTTATTGGCTTTGTGACAATTCAGACAACTATTCCTGAAATCAAACCTCAAAACAGATTACAGTTCCAGGAATTTTTATCTTCAATAGCAAAATTTGCATTAATCACAATTTAAGGAGATAAGTATAACATAAAAGTGAAAGAAAAATAATCTGCTACTTCCACGAACATTAAGAGATGGAGGGGACAGTGAGCAAGGAGAAAAAGGCTTCTTTCATGCAGGGAGTAACTGCAGACCCCAGTACACATCCAGGTTCTTGGGTTGCTGTTCTACACCAGCTGTTGTCTTCTTCTCATCCTGGGGGTCTTGGGAACAGCTGTCCACCTCAGCTGTAAGCTGCTTTGGACCATTTACTCTTTAGGGTCAGGTCACCTGTGGGTTCTGAAATCCAAATGGGTGATACTGCCCTTTTGAGATGTGACAAGGTGATCCAGGAGTCCCCTCCCTGGAGTTTGGCTGCAGTAGGAGTAGTGAGCAGGACTTCAAAGGGGCTTTCCACCTTGGCTCCCAGGAGTGTTTTTGGAGGTGACATCTTCAGTAGACCCAGTTGCCAGGTTGGACCAGGCGCTGAGTTTCCGTTAGAGTTTCTCAGGAATGGGACTATGAGACCAGTTGGTAAGACTCTGATTGTTCTGAGCCAGTGTAATATGGTATTATAGGAGGGACCGTTTGGCTACTGTGCTTCCCACCCACAGGTATGGTGACGTTGAGCGTGCTGTTACTATCTCATAGGGACTGAGCTTGTGGGAACCAAATAGTCTAGCCTTAAGGCTTAGCAGGGCTAAAGGAAGGGCTTTGGGCCAGGGAATAAGTAGCTCCTCAGAGACTTTAGCTAACGTGATTTTAAGTATCCCATTAACTCTTTCAGACATTCCTGATGACTGGGGGTGATAGGCAAAATGGAGGTGCTGAGTGATTGGCCAGGATGAAAGGAACTTAGCTAATGAGGCTCTTGTCAAATGGGTACCTCTATCACTGTCTGTCTCTTTAGGAACCCCCCATAATGAAATGATTTTTTTCTAGAAGGATTTTTGCTACCCCAGAGGCTATGGCAGTTCAACAGGGGAACACTTCCACCCACTGGGAAATCATACAGATCATAACCAAAGCATATTGGTATCCAAGGGCAGGTGGCAGTTGGATAAAGTCAAGGTTTCAAAGGGCACATCTGGGAGAGGAAACTGGCCAGGAGCAGGCTTCAGAGGCTTGGGTGCGTTATTCTTGGGACAGGTGGGACACATCTCACAGCAGCCTTGTGAAAACTCCCAGTCCATAGTGCCATAGTCTTAACAAGTTCACATCCCTCCTTTTGAAGCTTTCCCTGCTTTTTGATAAGCGTTTTTTTTTTTCTGGGAAGGGACAATCCCTTCTCTTGTAGGGCTAAGAGTTGGTAGGTCTTCAGAGTAAGATGGATATACCAAGGCTATATTTATGGAGCAAAGTGAAAGTTCCATAAGGACCTGTACTATGGGTGCCATTCCCTCCGGAGTTTGAGGATTTAAAACTTTGGTTTTTTGCTGGTTGGTCATCCGGGCATTTCCATAGGCGTGAATGATGCTCACTTGGCTGTGTCTTAGAATTTTAATTACCGCTCCAGTCTAGGGAAGCAGTAAACAGTCTAGTAGATGGGAAACCTGTTTCTGATTTTCACTGGGCTGTCCTGAGAAGGTGAGGAAGTCATGATAATTCCATAGCATCCCAAAGTCATATTCCAAAGTCTCATCATCACTTTCCATCTCAGGTGGGTAGATGGCAGGGTTGAATGTGCTCACACCAGCTACATTCCCTCCTTCTCAGAGGTGAATAAATCAATTGGGAGAGCTTAGCTGCATTGTGAGTCTGACTCACAAGCTGGAAAAGGCAGCTCTTGAGAAAACTAAATTAGTATATTCATTGCACATATCATATTGATTAATATACAATTTTAAAATTCCTTTCTCACTCTGGAATTGTGAGCAGGAGTCCCTAAAAATGGTAGTGTCATTGGCAAAAATAAAGAAGTCAGGAACAGGATCAGGCAGTGGTGGTGTTTTTTTGGGGGGTGGGTGGCTGTGGGCTGAGTAGGTGGAAGATAATGAGTTCAATCTTAGATACATGAAAGTTGAGGTGCTGATGTTACCTCCAAGTGGAGATGTCCAATAGGCAGTTGGAAAGGGGAATATGAAACTTATTAAAGAGGTCAGTACTAGAGATGTTCCCATTAGAACTCTGACTGGGTGTGATTGGTAAGCCTTATCTTGCCTGGCCATAGACAGCACACCCTTTCCAGCCATTTTCAAGCTATACTGCCTGCACATTGGCCATACTCCTCATCCCTATCACACCAGAACTCTCCCTCTGACCCCAGCATCCTGGGCTCTGATAGGCGTGTTTGGCCAATAGGATACTTCCAACTCCTACTGCCATAAGCATATCTTTCCTGATTTCGATCTTTGCTTTATGCATTTTCTTTCCCCTTTAGAATTGTAAGCTTCTACAGGGCTGGAAATGTCTTGCTTAGGTTTTTATGCCTAGCACTTAGCGTAGTGACTGGCATATAGTTAAAAAAGGCCTTTTCATTCATTCCTTCATGTAATTTTAGGAATTCCACATACAGAAAGGATAGCTGAAGCTGTGGGAAAGGATAAAAAGCACTGAGAGATGGTGTAGAGGCTGAAAAGAAGAGAGTCAAACAGCCTCAGGGAATGGATTTTTGCAATAGGAAGTCATTTGGTGACTTTTAAGAGAGCAGTTTTAGTAGTTTTATTGGTAGTTTCTGTAGCTTTGAGGACAAATGCAAACTACCTCTTCTCCCATCCCCCGTTCTCACATGAAGACATTGGCACTTAACTGGTATGAAATGGTCTGCATTGCTATGCATATGATATCCTTGGAGAAAGGTAAGTAGTCCAGGTTTACCATTTCACGGGATAAATGAAGGTGATAGATGAATTAAAAATCAATTATTAAGCATTTACTGTCTGCCAAATACTATTCTAAGATCTGTGGATACAGAAAAACCCTACAGCAACTGAAGACAATGCCTTATTCTAATGGGGTAGACAACACAGGTAGAAGAATGGTGGTCAGGAAGGGGTATTTTGATTTGGAAAGTTAGTGAGATGGTGATTGGAGCCTTAGAGGAGTAGATTGATAACAACCTTTCCAGTAGCAATGAACTTATTGATTTGATTGTGGTTCCAACCTTGCAAAGGAGGCAGAGGCTACAAAGAGTATGAACCAGGGCCAAAGCAGCTTCTGCCAAAGAGACAGCTGGGAAAAGAAGGGAAACATGGATTGGGCCAGTCTGCTATGGGAGACTCTTGAGGCACTCACCAATCTGACAAAGGGCCCCAGATCATGAGTTCTGAAGTTGAAAGGGTTAGGTGTACAAGGCATCTCAGGGCCAGTGAACGAAGGCAGTTGGTCTGGCCAGGAGAGGGATGATGGGAAGTAAAAAATGGTGGGATACAAGCCTGGAAAGATTATGGAGGTCATGGAAGACCTCCATAATTTCTTTTTTAGTCTTTTGGCAATTCTTTAATAGATTTTAAAATGACAATAAAGCTCATACTTTGATAAATGTTAATAAGTAATTAATTACAACAAAAGTCTCTAGAGAAATAAATCTGATATGTTACAAGCACAGCATTGCCCTTTTATGGTACCAAAAGGAATAAGTTTTAAATTCAGCGAATAAATTTTAGCTTAATCAAATTTAATTAATTAAAAAATAATTTCTACATATCTTATAAAACTTAAACAGAAAATAACAAAATTAAATCTTTTATTTACTTACAAAATAAACATCCAGATCAAAAGGTATGAGGAAGTTTGTTTTCATATGAGCCCCCAAATTATTTTTCAGGTAATTTCTTTTATTTGTAAGTCATTGAGTCCACAGGTTTAAATATTAAGTCAGTATAAATACAAAATAAACACAATGTATGTCAACAAAGCTATAAATGTCTGCTTAATTATTTATAAAAGGGAGAGAATATAATTGAAAACCTGATTAAAGATTTAATCATTAGTACCCAAAGCAGAAATACACTATTCTGTGGTACTACTTTATCTCTGTAAAATCACAAATACAGCTCCTGCCTTCATCATAGCTACCTATGCAAAAATAAAGAATCTGTAGTGAAAAGTTTTGGCCGTCTTGTTCAACATGCTAACTGCTCAAAAAACTGAAGAACTTCCAACATACAGTCTATTTATCATTTATCACATTTAAACAGAAGAATAATGATGTGTTATATGCAAAAGCTACATTACAAAGGAGGACTTACAGGAGTTTTTTTGTGCAAAGAAGTAACTTAATAACTGTCATCTTTCCAAAAGACTCTATAGAGAGGACAGATTGGAAAAGAGAGAGATTGGAGGCGGAGATCAAGGAGAAACATCTTGGAGCAATCTAGATGGGAGCTGATGAAAACTAGGGCATGGCAGTGGGAGCTGGAGAGAGGATGGATCAGTCTATTAACAAGCATTTATTAAGCATCTACTGTGTACCAGCTACTATCTGAGGCATGTCAAAGATGAAAAAAATGAAAGTTTTTCTGTTCTCTTTAAAAGGAAGCAATATATACAAATATAATGATTTATAAGCACCTTAAGGCAGAGCTGTTAATAAATGCAATCCTTACAACAACCCTGTAAACTTGGTGCTATTATGATCCCTATTTTACAGATGAGAAAACTGATGCTAACAGGTTAAGTGATTTGCCTAGGGCCACATAGCTAGCAAGTGTCTGAGACAGGTTTCAAAATATGGTCTTCCTAATTCCAAGTCCACAACACTTTCCACTGTACCACCTATGTTGGTAAACACAGGGCAAAGGAATGAATATGTATTAAACAGGTCTTGTGATCATCTTGGAACTATTCTTCACTGTCAAATGAGAGAGTTTAAATAGGTGTCGCTTGTAGTTCCAGCACTATGATTCCATGATTGTACTCCAGTGAAGGGCAGTAAGCTACTGACTTAACTTTTTTCCCCTGTTTTTAGGTGGAAAACTAATGTATGACCAAGTGCCAATGGTTGAAATGGATGGAATGTACATAGTACAAACCAGAGCCATCCTGAAATATATAGCTACAAAGTACAACTTGTATGGGCAGGACCTGAAGGAGAGAGCAATGTACGGTAATCATTGCATGCTTATGACAGAACGTAGAAGCCACCTTTTTCATTTTAGGAAATTTCTTCTTAATAATTGCAACTGATTTGTCCTGGGTCATATGGCCAGTAGAGTTCAAAGGCAAGACTTGAACCCAGGAAATCCTGACTCCACAGCTTGCTGTTTATTCATTGAAACCTCTGTCTCCCAATGTGATTGTGTTGAACACTTATCTTCTTTATTGTATAAAAGCAATAATGCTTTTATAAGCATGTTATGAATACGTAAAACTTTCTAATTTCCTTTCCCCATCTGAGATGCTCTTAGACTGGGCTTGGCCTTGTAGTGGGTATCTCTACCAGGTGGGAGTAGCAAAGTAATGGGATGTCAGAAGAGAAAAAACACCAAGATCTCTAACTTTGTAGTAGATAGCTGACTATAAAATAATGATACTGGCTTTTGTACACTAATTATTAATCAGTTAATCAACATTTATTAAGCATCTTCTATGTGACAAGCATGTGCTAAGCTCAGACGATACAAAAAGGCAAAAAACAGTCTCTGCCCTCAAAGAGCTTATATTCTAATGGATTGCTTATGAATCTATTTCCAGTAATATTTTAAGGCCCATATGCAGTGGACTAGCCCACCCACAGACAGCTAGACGACTGGCTGAGGAGATAGGAAATAATGGCTTTAGAGATAATAAAAAAAAACCAACACAATAATAACAAGTTAAAAATAATTTTTAGTGATTTGAAAAATCATGAGTTCAAAAACGATAAATATCTTCACTTTAAATTAACTCAGTGAACATGAAGGTGTTTTAAAAATTAGTGTCTATGTTTATTAGCTCATTATAGAAAGACCATGTTGTATAATGGAAAGCAACCCACATTGGATGAATCATCCACAAACATTTATTAAGGACCTACTATATGTTAGGTGCTTTTCTAGACTATGGGGATACAAAACAAAAAATGGAAATATTTTGAAACAAGTTTTATTCTCAAGGAGTTTTTTATGTTCTGGAGTCAGAAAGAGCTGGATTCAAGCCCGGGTTTGGACACTACCTTTTTGACTCTTGAAAGGTTATTTAGCCTCTCATTGCCCCCTAAAATGATAAGTGACAGATGACTTGTCAATTTGTGTGGTTGAGGGAGAAGCTCATGCTGATGAAATCATAGGTGCAGATGAAAACACAAAACCAGAACAACTCATGCGGAATTCTGTTTTACAGTGGTGATCAAGAGATTGTGAGCTCCTTTAAGGCAAGGACTGTCTTTTGTCTCTTTTTGTATACCCGGCATTGAACATAGTTCCTGGCGCAAAGTAGACTCTTAATAAATGCTGATTGATTAGTTTTGTAGCTTTTCTAAACCAAGTGAAAATGTCCTTTAAAACAGAGGTTGATGTTTTAAAGGCTCTGAATCAAGCTTTTTCCCATTAAGCTTTTTTTCTTCTAATGAAGGTCCTCGCTGCCAGTCTGTAGAGGGACCATTTTCCTTATCTGAGGCCTAACACATTTATGTTGGATTAGGCAATGTTTTTATCCTGGGTTTGTGACCTTGTTTATTTAAATATTTTGATAACCATATTTCAATTCAGTTGGTTTCCTTTGTGTATTTTGTTTTATGCATTTAAAAATATTATTTTAAGAAAGGTTACATAGGCTTAACCAGATTGCTAATGACACAATAAAAAAAGGGTTAAAAATCTCTGGTTCAGAGGAAAAGCAGAAAGTGTTCAACATAATAGGATCACAGATGTAGAGCTGAAAGTGACCTTAGTAATCATCTATTCCAACCCTCTTATTTTACAGATGAGGAAACTGAGGTTCAAAGGAGTCAGTTATCCTATTCAATTTGAATTGTCAGTGATGACTGTTCGTGAAATGAATAGATCTGTTTTAAGAGAGAGGCAACTATTTTAAACTAATTCCATTTCTCTAGGTAGGGCTGTTCTTCAAGGTAGGGTGAGTACTCAAAGCTTCTCCCACAGATGTTTGGACAAGTCCCTGGTAGCACAGATGTTACAATTTAGGTATGACCTAGGATTTCATTGGCAGAGGGAATTCCAGTAGGGAAACCATTTCTAACAATACAAGTCAGCAACAACTATGTCTTAGAGTCTTAGAGAGCTGCTTTCAGTGACTTGTCTAGAGTCATGCAGCCAGTATGTGTCAGAGATGGTACTGAACAAGGGTCATCTAATTCCAAGTCTGGCTCCATTAACCTGGAGTCTATTAACATGGTTTGTTTTTAATTTGATAACTACTTCAGCATACTTGGTTTCCTTTTTAATTCTCTGTGTTTTACTTTATGTGTTCAAAACGTTATTCTGAGAAAGGGTCCATAGGCTTAACCAGAAAGGGTCCTAAGTGGCTTATGACACATAAAAGGCTAAGGATCCCTGCTCTTTACTTCTCCATGATGAATCTTAGAGTCTACACTATAATGATGAATTAATAGCTCACGTATGGCATCTTTCATAGGTATGTCCTAATAACATTTTATATTTTTAAAAGTATGTTCATGGACAAGATTTCATTTTATCCTGACATTCATTCTGCAAGGCAGACAGAATTACAATTCTTATTGTATAAGATCACTAAAGCCCAGGGAGGAGAAATGGTCAAGAAATGGATCAAAGTCACTGGGCTATTTTGTGCCAACACTGGGATCAGAAATCATGTTTCCAAAGAATCCCAGAATTTTAGATCCAAACTATATCTCAGCAATCATCTAGTCCATCTAGGTTTTCAAAATCTGAGCCAATGTTCTTTTTATAGTTCCATTTGGACTCATCAAAAGTAACATGTTTTCTTCTCATTCACTCTGGAGAAGGGGTTATTGGTGTTGGCAAAGGCGAATTGATTAAATATCTTTTGTCCCAACAAAGGGGCCCTGAGACTGAAAAAGGTCAGAAACCATGTGCCTAGGATGTATTTCCTCCTCACTTCCACCTCTTAGGACTCTCAACTTCCTTCAAGGCTCAGTTCATAGGCCACCTCTTGTGGGAAATGTTCCATGATTTCCTTAGTAGGTACTTCTCTCTCCTTCATCAAGTTATCCTTCTATACCCCCTAAGGAGACTTTAGGCTCCTTGGGGGGGGACTGTTTCATTTGTGTCTTTATATCCTTAGACTTAATCATAGGACCTTATACACCCTTCACTGAGCTGCCAAAGAAAGAACATTATATCTTGAATTGGAAGATCTGAGTTCAAATGTCACCTCTGACGCATACTACCTGTGTGACCTTTTGTAATTACCCTGGTTCTCTGTTTCCTTACCTGTAAAATGAGGGAAGGTTGGACTAATTGGCTTTTGAGGTCCCTTCTAAATGTACGTCTATGATCCTATATTGTTGTTGTTCAGTCATTTCAATTGTATCCAGCTTTTTGTGACCCAATTTCAGGTTTCCTTGGCAAAGATACTGGAGTGGTTTGCCATTTCCCTCTCTAGCTCATTTTACAGATGAGGAAACTGAGGCAAACAGACTTAAATGACTTGCCCAGGGTAATACAGCTTTTAAGTATCTGAGGCTGAATTTGAACTCAGGTCTTCCTGACTCCAGGCATGACACTATCCAGTGAGACACCCAGCTGCTCTATGACTTGAGTTCCAATCTCACCTCTGATGCATACTATTTTTGTCACCATTTTTGGTTACTCTGGTCCTCAGTTTCCTTATCTGTAAAATGAGGTGGTTGGATTCCTTAGCTTTTGAGGTCCCTTCCAACTCTATGTCAATGATCATATGACTTAAGTCCAAAACTCACATCTGAGGCTTAATATTTGCATGACCCTAGACAAATCATTGAACATCCCTGAATATGAGTTTTCTCATCTGTAAAATGAGGAGCATACTAAGTGGCTTTTGAGGTCCTTCTAGTTCTAAATCTATAATCCTGTATTTTTAGAGCACAGGGATGACCATATTTTAAAAAAGAATGAAAAAACTTCTGTATGGTGACCAACAAGATCCCAAATAAGGCATTTTCTCTGGTCCCCACTAACTCTCAAAGCCCCTCTCAAAAGAGTAACTGTGTGCCAGAGGTAGAGTAATACAGTTGAATCTACAGGAGAAAAACCATGAGATGCCCAACAAGGTAACAGCCTGATGAATAAACACTTGGCAACACTCATTCTTAAAACATTCTCTAAGCACCCCTCTATGAGCTATAAGCCATCATGCTCCATAGCACATACAAAGCAATCCATGGGTTTGTGCCTTGGACCTGCACAAGGACTCTCCTCCTATTGTAGGCCCTCTGAGCACACATCCCACCTCCAGCTGCCATTGCTACAAGCAGTAGGCATTGATTCTGTGTAGCTATGTGAGGAGGAAGTGGGCTGGGGAAGGGAATCAGGCTTCTTTCTGGTTGGGGCAGTCCCTAAGGAACCTCAAGTCTACAGCTGTACAGAATATCCACTCTATCATACCCCAGCTCCCCAAAAGTGGTAGAAGTTGATGCAGTCCAGTTAGAGGAAGAAGGAAGCACAGAAGGCACTAGGTTAAGGGGTCAAGGTGTTTGCTTGTACTAGGACTAAAGGAATGTGGATTGAAATACAGTGAGAGAGCTAAGTCCAACCCAGAAGTTATGTAGGCTAGGGACCCAGGCCCTAACCTGGGAAAAATATATCCTTCAACATGAGAAGAGTTTGAGGCAGATTTGTAGTACAGCCCTGGGAATATACCTACGAACCAAGGGAGAGTTTCAAGAAGTGAGTAATAGGGTTCAAAAAAAGACTAAAACTAGTGATAATTTCAAGGTGATGAAATTTAAAACCCTAAAGCACAACCAGATAAATCAACAAAGATATGTAAATTAGAAGGAAGGATGAGTACTAAAGTCTCCAAAAGATGACCAAGTTCTACAAATACTACAAGACAAAGGAAATTAGACCTGCTCAAAAGTCTCCAGTGGTTCCCTAACTCTAGATAAAATACAAACTTTTCTGTTTTTAATTCATAGCCATTCAAACCTGGAGTTAATAGTAATAGTTAATAGTAATCCTATTTTTATTTATGCTATTTTTCTTTTCCAGTATTGACATGTATGTGGAAGGGATGAGGGATCTGAATGACATGATGATATACTTCCCATTTTCTTTGCCTGAACAAAAACAAAAGATTTTAAACTATATCCTGGAGAGAGCCACTGAAAGATTCTTTCCAGTGTATGAGAAGGTATGGAACAATGGGACAGAGTGTGATACACTCCCTTTATATAGTGACTGACATTACAAGCACCTTCTCTGCTCTGAGCAAGTACAATGTGAGCAATACAAGTGACAATGCAGAAACGTTGGAGGGCCCATGGTATAGAAGAAAGACCACTGGCTCTGTAGACCCATGATCTGAGTTCAGATCCTGCCTCTGACACTTACTACTTGTAGACATGTGGGCACATCACTTTGTAACCCTGGATCTCAGTTTTCTAAGCTTCACAAAGTGAGGCAGCATCCTATAGTGGATAAAGTGCTAGACTTGGTGTCAGGAAGACCTTGGTTCAAATCCTACCTCAGACACCAGTTATGTGACCCGGGGCAAGTCAGTTGTCCTATCTGGGCCTCAATTTCTTCATTGTAAAATGAGGAAGCTGGACGTAATGACCCCTAAGGTCACTTCTAGCTCATAATCTGTGATCCTATAAATTCATAAAGAGCTAGAACAAGTAGAAAATAAGATAGGCAGCTACCTAGAAGTCAACATCAGGGGACACAGTGAAGGGCACTTGTATTTGTTTTCAGCATTGAAAAATTATATGGTTAGTCCTGGCACTGATTTCTTTCACTTCTTATACACCTTTTTAGACTGTTAAATGAAGGAAGGGCTGGTGGCAAAACTCTTGAGAGTTCTTTCCATAAAAATGGATCTTTTTGAACCTGTATATAAAGTTGGTATAATCTAGTTCTTTTGGGATGAAGACTTACTAAATCATTTAATACACACACATTAACTGCATCAGAAGACGCAATAGCAACAACCTCTCCACAAGCATTTATTAATGAGCCAACTGCATGCCAGAGACTGTGCTCAGCACTGAGGACCCAAAGGCAAAATGAAATAGACCCTGCCCTCAAGGAGCTTGCATTCTTTTACCTAAAAACATGTGTTTATGTGTGTGTGTGTGTATGGGTATATGTATGCACACATAAATAAGTACAATGTAATTTGGGGGGAAGATATTACTAATTGGGGGAGGGGCTGTCAGGAAGGTCATCATGTGGGAAGTGATTTTTGAGATGACCTTTGAAGGAAACTTGGGACTCTGTGACAGTTGAGGTAAAGAGTAAGTGCATTCTAGGTGTGGGGGCCAAACTGGGCAAACATATATAGTCAGGACATGGGATGTCTTGTATGAGGAATAGGAAGAAGGCCAGTTTGTCTGTGCTTTAGACTGTGTGAATGGGAGCAGTGTAAAATCAAGGCTGGAAAGGTAGGTTGGAGTCAGGTTGGGAAAAGCTTTAAATCCTCTAATAACAGCATCTTACATTTATCAAATGCTTCATGATTATCAAATAGTTTATAAGCAGTATTTTACTTAATCCTCACAACAACCCTGTTGGTTAGCAATGCAAATATCCCCATTTTATGGATGATGAAATGGAGTCTCAGAGAAGTGCAGTGACTTGCCAAGGTCACACAGTAAGTGGCAAAGCTAGAAGGAGAATCAAGGTCCTTCTGATTCCAAGTTGAGAATTTAATCCATAAGACGTCTCTAGTAAGTTACTAGACTGTGACTTTACAGATTATAGCTTTACTGGAATGTGAGAGGGAACAAAATATAACACTAGATTTGAGATCTGAAATCTAGGTTCTAATTCTAGCTCTGCTATTTTCTCTCTCCATACTTTGGGTGAATCACTTTAACCTCAGTGGGCTCCTTTTTTCCACCTGAAAAAGAAGGGGGTTGGACTAGGTGATATCTCCAGGTTCCTTGCACAACTTAATCTTCTATATAATTCTGAGTGGCAATGAAGTGCATGTTTTGCACAACTCCTCAATGTGTTTTCAGCATGTATATGATGCATTACATTTTTCTATGTATATTATAGTATCTTCTGCCTAGTATAGTACAACCTCCTTGATGACAGAGATTAGATTATTTTTTGCCTTTTTATCCCTATCACTTAACCCAGTGTTATGCATTGTTGTTCTTGTTCAGTACTTTTCAGTTGTATCTGACTCCTCATGACCCCTTTTGGGATTTTCTTGGCAGAGATACTAGAGTGGTTTTGTCATTTCCTTTTTGAGCTCATTTTACAGATGAGGAAACTGAGTCAAACAGGGTTAAGTGAGTTGCCCAGAGTCACACAGCTAATAAATGTCTGAGGTTGGATTTGAATTCTGGAAGATGAGTCTTCCTCACTCAGGGCCTGGCAATCTAACCACTGTACCACCTAGGTGCCATGCATGTAAGAAGTATTTAATGAATATGTGTTTATTTGTTGAATAATGTCTGAAACAGAAAAATCTGTTGTACCAGACTTGTTACACAAATTGTTGTTTTGTTACACAGATTGCGTAGACCTCTGTCACAATGGAGGAGAAATTGATGGCTGGGTCTGTCAGTTTCAGTTTGTGGTGACAGATAATTCACAGACTCCATCATAGAGAAAATCTGTTTAAAAATACTTGGTGTTTTGGTCCTTGGTGTTAAAAAAAAAAAAAGCTGTTGTGTTAAGAGAATTGTCCCAGTAACCTACAACTATTGAAGGCGGATTGTCATCACAGCCTGAGAATGTGGTCAACAGATGATCTCATGGGCTCCTAATATGGATAAAGGATAGTGACAAAAAAAGGAAATCTGATTCTGCTGCGACTTGGGTCTAGGGGGTGGGAAACCTGAGGCCTCAAAGCCACATGTGGCCCTCTAGGTCCTCAAGTATGGCCTTTTGACTGAGTCTAAGTTTTACAAAACAAATCCTTTTATTGTATTGTGTTATGTTGTATTGTATTGTATTGAATTAATTTATTGGTGGACGCATTTGAGGTTGAGTGACTTGCCCAAAGTCCTATTGCTAATAAGTGTCAAGTGTCTGAGGCTGGATTTGAAATCAGGTCCTCCTGACTCCAAAGCCAGAGCCTTATCTACTATCCCTAAATGAGTGCCACCTAGCTGGCCTCAAAAATCCTTTTATTAAGGGGATTTGTTTTGTGAAGTTTGGATTCAGTCAAGGGGCCACGTTTGAGGACCTTGAGGGCCACATGTGGCGTTAAGGCTACAAATTCCTCTCCCCTGGTGGCTATGTCATGCGTTTCATTGATTACCATAACTAAAGAGACCTTAGCTTGTCCTTGGGATTTGTAAATTTTATTTTCCAAGTTTTGTGACTTTCCTTAAGCTTAAGGATATTTTCTTTTGGTTGAAATATCTCCCCTCCATTATAGGATTTATTGTTTTTTTCCTCCACTGAGATTCCCTTTTCTGGCTAACTTGGTGTCTCCTGTAGGATTCCAAATGTGCAACCTGACTGCCTGGGGGTTATTGCCTGTTAAATAATACTGCTTAGAGTTTTGTGTTATTGATTACACAGTTGTTGAATTGAATGTGGCCCTGCATTCATTGCTGTTGCCTATCTTACTGTATGTTATCACTTGTGCATGTCTATCTGTGTTTCTTGGTTTTCTTTACATCATAAAAAAATCCCAAATGTTTGCATTTGCACTATTGCTTTGTTGAATACATTTTAAAATAGAATTTAAGCCAAGACTTTACAGTCAAGACTTTATTCATTTGGTGTGAGGTGATGCCATGAGAAACTCACTGAGTACTTTACATTGTAGTAATAATAATAGCTAATGTTTATATGACACTTACCATGTGCTAGGCACTGTACTAAGGACTTTACAAATATTATCTCATTTGATCCTCCCAACAACCCTGCTTAGATAGTCTGAAAATATAATGGGCAGAGGTTTGTGAGTGGACAAACTGAAATGTCTGATCAAGCTGGAAAAAAGATATTACAGTCAAAGCAGGGATGGGGAACCCGCAATCTTAAGGCAACGTGTGGCCTTCTAGGTCCTTAAGTGCAGCCTTTTGACTGAATCCAAATTTTCCAGAACGTATCCTTTTATTTTTATTCATACTTTTTTTTTTTGCCTTTCTTTATATTCTCACCACTCAGCACAGAGCCCAGTACATAGAAAGTGTTTAATAAATGCTTGTTTCCTCAATACCTAACAAGGTAGAAATAAAATTGCTCTCTTATCTCCTTCTACCCTATGTTTTCTTCTGTGTATCATGGCTCTTTCCATTAGAATACAAGTAATGTACCCTATATTCCCATACCTTCTTTCCCTTCTCTCCTTGTCACTGGTCCTACAGGCATTAAAAGACCATGGGAAAAATTATCTTCTTGGCAACCAGTTGAGCTGGGCAGATGTACAGCTGATTGAAGTCATCCTAATGGTTGAAGAACTCAAGTCTGGCATTCTCTCTGCATTCCCTAAGCTTCAGGTAATTCCATCAAATGTGGTCACCACCTATTTTATACATACCCATGGCTTTACATGTTGTCTTGCCCTTTAGATGTAAGATCCTTTAGGGCAGGGTTAGTGTTTGTTTTTCTTTTTATCTCCAGAGTTTAGTGTAGTCCCTAGAACACAGTTGAAATATTAATACATGCTTGCTAATTAGTTGACTTAATAGATCTGGGATTTCCCTTGTGTGCGTCCTTTCTCTACTGACCCTAACTCTATTTATTTCCCAAAGCTTCCTTCATAGATGGTCTTCCTGGGCTGCTATGGCCCAAGACATTCATCAACTGTTGAGCACCCTTCTGCTGATGATTCTTATGAATTTAGCTGAATATGTTTTCAGATGATGGACAAATAGCCCAGGGCCAGGCCCAAAGCTCAAAGTCTTTCCAGGTTGGTGGAACCACCTAAGACTTTCATTTGACTGGTATAGCTTTTGAGAATTATTGGTCTCCTCCACACCACTTTGAGCAAACAGAGGAGGATTTTAATGGAAGCCATGCTAGGACATGGCCCTAAATTGGTTAAATTCATCAATTTATTCACGAATAAATCAATAGTTAGTACCTATTATGCACAAAATAGCGTGCTAGTCTCTGGGAATAGAGGTAGGGAAATAAAAGATGAATATGATCTTTGCCCTCCAGGGGCTAACAATCTATCACATTTTACTAAAGCTTTCCTTTTTGATTTCCTGTGTAGCTGTTTTTATTGTAGACATGGGTGGTCTGAGCCCACCATTCATTGGTGTACGAAAATCCTGTTGGGCAAACTCAACCTGTCAATGAAAATTGACAGTAGCTCTGTAGCTTAAAGTCATAGAACATTGGGAGTAATAAGAGGTTATGTGACTTGCTTTGAGTCACAGAGCCAGTATGTGTTAGAGTCAGGACATGAACCCATGTATTCTTGAGTAAGGAGCCTAACTGGTGCTCCATCAACCACCTCACGTTGTTATTTCTAATATTTCTATACAAAATAATTAAGGAAAAAACCTATGTGGGATATACATTTTGAAAAGAGAAGGCTGTTTTTTTCATACATTATATTATATAAATGAAAAGTGGGCCTTACACATTTGCAGAGCCAGGAGTTTCTGAGGACTTGCGAACATCACTGCTCATAGGGAGAAAATGCTTGTCACAGCTTTCCCCCAGGATGAAATAGTTTCCAAAGGGTCTTGGCAAGAGCAACCCTGGGGCCCTGCTCCAATGTGCAAGGCTAATTGCTTCATTTATGGGTGATGTCATGTTGTTTTGTATATATATTTTTTTCATTTTAGGAGTTCAAAGCTAGAGTCAGTAAGCTCCCCAATATTCAGAAATTCCTTCAGCCTGGTAGTCCAAGAAAGCCACAAGAGGATGAAACAACTGTGGAAGTTGTAAAGAAGATATTCAAGGGCGAAGACGACTTGTTTCTTCAACACATGTGAATATTCAGCTCAAGGAAAGAGTTCTGAAGAGCACAATTGATGTTTTAGTTTCTATCTGTAGTCATGCTCACAGAAATACTAGGATGTGCTCCTGTGACATTCCTAGGTTCAATAACTAGCAAATATGATTTCTCCCTATAGAGGTTATTGTAAATCAGAAAACCTAATCTTTACATTGCTTATTATAAAACCTCATTTAATGAGAATCTTACCTTACTCAGGGTTGTAGAATCATAGATTATGTTCTCATTTTTATTCCAAATATAATAGATAGCTAGAAGAGACCTTAGAAGTTGTTGAGTGTCATTCCTTCCTTACAGCCAGCCCCCCCCCTCCAAGTGCCTTTTACTGGAACAGTAATTACCCAGAGTAGTTAAGTGACCTATACCAAGATCATACAAATAGTAAGTGGTACAACAGGATTCAAGCTCAGGTCAAGTATAAAATGTGGATAATAATAGCACTGAACAAGCCATCAATAAACTCTAAAAGAAAAATCTCCAGGATCAGATAGATTTACAAGTGAATTCTATCAAACTTTTAAAGAACAATTAATTTCAATACTATATAAACTCTTTTGAAAAATAGGCAAAGAAGGAGTCCTACCAAATTCTGTTTTATGATACAAATATGGTGCTTATCACTAAACTGGGAAGAGCCAAAACAGAGAGAAAATTATAGACCAATTTCCCTAACGAATATAGATGCAAAAATTTAAAATAAAATATTAGCAAAGAGATTACAGCAACTTATCACTAGGATAATATAGTATGACCAGGTGGGATTTATATCAGTAATGCAGGGCTGGTTCAATATTAGGAAAACTATCAGCATAACTGATCCTATCAATAACAAAATTAACAAATCATATCATCATCTCAGCAGATGCCGAAAAAGCTTTTGACAAAATATAACACCCACTCCTGTTAAAAACATTAGAGAGCATAGGAATCAATGGAGTAACAATGGTGGGGTAGGGTAGTAATCAGATATTGAGTTGATCGAGATTTCTCTCCCTCATCTCCTGGGACACTCCCTCTCGATTACCTCCTTCCGATTGTAACTCCAATACATATATACAGAAAAGCAAAGGCCTGTGGTTATTCTTGTTTTTATAAACAAAATAAATGTTTAAAATGAAGCAAGACAAACAGACTTTCCCTATACCCAAAGAAAAAGGATTTAGACTTCCACAATGGAGCTCAAAAGTAGAAAGGAAATACCAAATTACTGGCTTGTCAAGTCACTTGATTTCTCAGCTTCAGTTTCACCATCTATAAAATGTTTTAAATGACTTCTAAGGTCCCTTCCAGTTCTAGATTTATGATCTTATGAGACTACTCCAAATTGGGGTGGAGGAAAAGAAGCTTTTTAAAGGAGAAAAATAATAACCTGGATTTTTTAAATATTATATACACAGTGCCTTACACCATGTAGGAATTAATTTTTTTCTTTCTTTTTTTCCTTTTCCTTCTAGTTTTCTTTCTTTCTGCCTTTCTTTTTTTTGCCTTGTTGCGTTCTCTGAGTTTTTTTTTTTTTTGCCACATGTATAAGCATGAATGGAACTTAAAAAAAAAACTTTTGTGCTCACCAAGAAAATAAGCCTGAAGACCAGAATTTGGCAAACTAGAAATTAATGAAAGTTATCCCACTGACTTGAGAAAGGAAATGGAATCATGGATTCTTAAGTATTTAATCTATTCACTCAAACCTCGGGTGAGGATTTGAGCAAGTCGATAAAGTATAACCAGTTCCCAAAAAATTGTTTTCATTTTTCTCTGTAACTTTCAAATCCACAAACATGCAAAGGATCTGTCATTTCTTTGGTATGGTGATTCCCTCCATCATTGCAGTTCTCAATTAATTTATTAGTGTTTTTTTTAAAATGTGTTGCAGAATTGCTAAAGGTAATTTAAAGAGCTTAGGTAACTTGTCCAGTGTTACACAGCTAACAAATGCCAGAAGTGGGATTTTAAAAACTGTCAGTATTCCTGCCTCTGGGCCCAGCACTCTGTCTACTGTTCCACCCCACCTCTAAAGTTGAACATATAACCAATGTATGGATTTGTTTCATTTGACTAAACTTACTTGTTATGAGAGAGGATTCTACTGGTAATGGGCAGAGAAAGTGGGAAGTAAAGAGGATGTAGAAAAAAGAGAAAATATATTAAAAAATATTTGTAAGAAGGGAAAAAGAATTACTTGGGTACTGCATTGGGATAGAAAGTATAAAAGAGTAGCGGGTTCAGCAATGTTGCAGGTCAAAGCCTACAGGCTGATGAGCAGGAGGATTTGGTTCATGAGTAACTGCTGCACTTCCAGCCAAAGTGAGATGGGAGCTGGGGACAAGGGAAGGCAAGCATTCATTAAGCACCGACTGTGTCCCAAGCACAATGGTAAGCACTTTGCTGGTAGTATCTCATTTGCTTGAGATAGGAAGACTCAGTCTCCAAAAGAAACAAAAATCTCAGTCTACTGGGGAGATAATGCCCAAGGAAGCAAGAACAAACAAAATACAAGTTAGAAGTAACGTCAGGTTATCTTTTGTGTAGGTTTTACTTGACTACAACACTAACTTCTGTTCTTTTAACTTGAGACTATTTAGTTTACTGCTCATTAGGTATGACTGTCGACAAATGAAACAGAAAAAACATTGCCAACTTGTAGGCTTGGTAAGATTATCAACATGAACCATGCCATATTAACCAAAAGGTTATCTGCGTTATAATACATAGATGCTTTTGATCTCCAAAACTATGCACGAGTATTGGAACATTGTGTGGCTATTCACCACCAAGATGAGGATCAGGCATCTTGGGATTTCAGAGATCCTAGGGTGCTGAGTCAACATTTAGCTTGTGAATTTTGTGCAGGGTTCATGAAATAATGGGGTCAAAAGATTTAAATCCAGGTCCTTAGGGATTACCTACCCAGTCTCTTCATTTTAGGGACAAGGAAACAAGCCCTGAAAAGGGAAGGACTGCCTAAGACCACCCAGCAAGATGGGAGGAGATGAGTCTGGAGAAGGGTCTGGAAGGATAGGGCTGATGACATTGATTTCAGGCAGAGCTTTGTCCAGGTCCCAGATTTGAAGCGAGAAAAAGGTGAGACATTGGTGTGTATCTTCTCTTGCCTCCTCCAGCTCCTGGAAATTAGTTGGCCATCAGCAGCTACAGCTGGGCACATTTACAGACTTCTCCAGGGGAGATCTGCAACATCTTGTTGGGGAGAGATCAATGTCCATTTCATCTGCTCCTACCCTTTTCATATACCCTAAGATGACTAAAATGGGTTTAGTCATAAGTAGCCTTATAAATCATATATTTCAGGGGCAGTGGGAAAATTTCCCTGACCATCGTATCATGCCTTCCTATGTGCTTAATGTTACCTGCAATTTCTTTAATAGCAAAAAAGGCTTTTGAACTATTAGGGACAAAAGCCTAAAAGGTAAATGCTTATGCTCTTTGATCCAGCAAAGCCGTTGCTAGGTCTGTATCCCAAAGAAATCATAAAAAAGGAAAAAGAACCTACACGTACAAAAATATTCGTAGCAGCTTTTTTTGTGGTGGCCAAGAATTAGAAATGGAGGGGTTGCCCTTCAACTTGGGAATGGCTGAACAAATTGTGGTATATGAATGTAATGGAACACTGTTGTGCTATAAGATAGGAAGAGCAGGCAGATTTCAGAAAAACCTGGAAAAACTTACCTGAACTGATGCTGAGTGAAGTGAACAGAACCAGGAGAACATTGTACATACTGTTAGCAAACTTGTGGGATGATTAAGTGGGAATGACTTAGCTCTTCTCAGCAATATAATGATCCAAGACAATTCCAAAAGGATCATGCTGGAAAATGCTATCCACATCCAGAGGAAAAAAAAACTGATGGAGTCTGAATGCAAATTGAAGCATACTATTTTCACTTTTTTGGGTTTTTTTTAAAGGTTTTTTTCTTTTATTCTGTTTCTTCCTTTACAACATGACTAATGTGGAAATGTTTTATGTGATTGTACATGTATAACCTACATCAGATGGCATGACATCTTGGGGGAGGGGAGGGATAAAGGGAGAAAAATTTGGAACTTAAAATCTTTCAAAAAAGGAATCTTGAAAAATTTTTTTACATGTAATTGGAAAAAATGAAACATTACTTAAAAAGAAAAAAAAAGATGAATGCCTGGTAGAGGTAACCCACAAATATAGGATACAGGCATTTGAGTCCATTTCTTAGAATCGGTGGATCAACTTTCATATTTTTTTATCCATAACCAGTAGCAGAGCTAGGGTGGTACAACTTTGTTCCAAGGCTTGGAAATTTCAAAATTGCAACATTTATGATTCTCCATTATTATCGGAACAACTGAGTTTAGCACCTAGTTAGTGAGAATAATTAGCTAAAATATCCTAAAAAATTCCCCATAAGATCAGGTGTGAAACAAAGATGTCCATTATCACCACTGTTATTCAGTAGTGTACTAAAAGTGTTAGCTTGAGCAATAACAGAAGAAAAAGAAACTGGAGGAATTAGAACAGGCAGTGAAGAAACAAAGCTATCACTCTTTGCAGATGATATGATGGTATACTTAGAGAATCCTAGAGAATCAATTAAGAAACTACTTGAAATAATTAACAACTTTAGCAAAGCTGCAGGATATAAAATAAACCCACATAAATCATTAGTATCTCTATATATTGCTAACAAAGCCTAACAGCAAGTGATAGAAAAAGAAATTCCGTTTAAAGTATCTGTAGACAATATAAAACATTTGGGAGTCTACCTGCCAAGACAAACCTAGGAACTATATGAACACAACTACAAAACATTTTTCACATAAATAAAGTCAGATCTAAACAATTGGAAAAAAATCAGGGATAGGCTGAGCTAATATAATAAGAATGACAATTTGACCTAAATTAATTTACTTATTCAGTGCCATACTAATCAAACTGCCAAAAAATTATTTCATAGAACTAGAAAAAATAGTTACAAAATTCATCTGGAAGAACAAAAGGTCCAGAATATCAAGGGAATTAATGAAAAGAAATGCAAGGGCAGGTGGCCTAGGCTTATCAGATCTACAACTGTATTATGAAGCAGCAGTCATGAAAACTACTTGTTACTGGTTAAGAAATAGAGTGGCAGATCAGTGGAATAGGTTAGGTACACAAGACACAATAGTCAATGATTATAGTAATCTACTGTTTGATAAACCCAAAGACTCCAGCTTCTGAGATTAGAACCCACTATTTAACAAAAACTGCTGGAAAAACTGGAAAATAGTGT